AGAGCATACAAAAGTATGCAAGTGTACCAATTTTCATACTTTTTTCACATTTTGAACGATTTTTTTTTAAATCTACTGTACTACTGCAGGTATTCCGCCCGGCCTACTCACTCCCATTTCCCCATACTGCGATTCCAGTACATATCTAATAATATCCTAAATGTACTGGGATGGCATGTTAATTATACTATACTATCGTACCTGTTCCATAATTCCCCCCCCCCATTTTAACAAGAATAGTATGCTAATTACTTTAACACGTTACATGATGCTGATTTCCCATTCTTGTTCTCTAACTATTGCCCTATTATGGCACAATTTTAGTTTTTTTAGTTGTTCATTTGTATGCTAATGCAATATAAAATCATATCCTGTTATAATAGCATCATGATTTAACTAAAGCGATATGATAATTGTAGTCGAAGTATATACTTTTATGCGAAGATGACGAATATTTTTCTCTATTACATGTTAATTGTACTGGAATATTATGTTAAATATTGCCACATTCATGCCATTTATGCTACTACTACTATAGGCCCTACATCATATTATTTATCCTAATTGTACCAAAATGTTATCCTATTGTACTATAATCGCGTGCTTAATAATCCGTATTCAGGAAATAATTTATTTATCTTTAATAATATTAAAGAGGAATAAATTAGCAAAATATTTTTATTTTTTTTTTCATCATTTATAAATGACCTACACTTTTACAATAGTAACATATTTATTAGCAGTATTTCATCCTATTTGTGCAAACATGTTATCCTATTCACATTATTCCCTTACTTTTAACGATATTCTATACAGGTGTGTTATGCTAATTATTGTCACATTCGTATGTGTCGCTTATATTTTAAATGTACTATAAATGTTGCGTTAATTTATCTCTTATTCACGCACTGTTGTTCTCAGCCTACTTTCACCAATATTTATATATTAATGCCTGCTGTTGGGGGCACTATGAGAGCATAGTGCCCCCAACAACAGGCATTAATTTTTTTAGTGCATCACATGACTATGCAATCTACTTTTCATGCTTATATACCTTCTTTATACTCCCTAATTTGCCGGTGCATTCGATGTAACAAAACGTTCGACACAAACACAACTGCCGTTCGAAACTCTTGCGCGGCGCCCAGACGCAGGAGATTCGTGACGTGAACACAATGCGTTATAATAACAATGCGTCGCGCAAGCAATAGTGCCCGCTCAGGCGGGCACTATTGCTTCATAGTGCCTGCTGCGTTATCCAATGGAATTTCAACGATTTTCACGTGATGCACTAATATATCTTAATTGTACCAGTACCTTGTTCTTATTAATCCGCATACATAAGCGTTCGTCTTATGCCAGAATGTCATTATAATGAATAGCAATGAATATTGAAATAGCATCGTCACTGTAACAGAATTTGATCTTATTTGTACGAAGATATCTTAACTTAATTATCTGGCCATGTTTTGCTTATCATTATTTTGCAAACCTATCCCGTCATCTGCATGTAATGCCGCTTATTTCTATACGTGTATATTGTTATTGCTATATTGTAGCTTACTCAGCTACTTATCTTGTTCTACACCTATGTTTGGTTCGGAGGAATATGTGTCATATCAGTTTTACGCTCGCTCTTGCTTGCCTACCCCACTAAGTGGAAACTGGCTTCTTCTGATGCATGTGCCTGTTGAGAATGATTAGGGTTATTGTTACTGTTATGGGCACATTGGTATGCTTATACGCACGATGAATACAGATAACATATCTTCATTAGGTCACACTCAGCAGGAATGTATTTACTCTTACGTTGGTCAGTCCGAGTTCTGGCATTGGTTAACTATAACCCAATATTATACACTATCTGACATGTAAGGGCAATATACGTAAGGGCAACCCCGCACAGCCTAATCGCGCTCAACAAACAGTGTACATTATAGAACTCCGTGTACAGCGTTCAGAAGTCTGGGCCACGCACCAATCACCAGTGTCGCTTCTTCCGTAGGGCTCTTTCTTGCCATATACCGTGCTCCTTGCCTCCCGCTGGTGGTTGCCATGGTGACCGCCTGCTGCGCTGTCGAAGAACGAGCGTATACGTGCGTGCGTGCGCGTTGCACAGGCTGCATGTTCATAGCATGCCGACGTTATAAGTAACCAGAAGACGTAACGTGGCGCGCAGTTGTTTCACTTTTACAATGGTTTTGCCGTCCGCCGGCGTACGTTTTCTACATCTACCAGTAGTGAGTGGGCGTTTTCCTATTATGGTGGCGCTGGGATATTATATTTGTATACTAAATATCTGCAATAAACACGCTTTTGGTCACATTTAATATTATGCGATTATTGCATGATTGCGAGGGAAGCATACACGAACAGATGAGGGAGTTTTGTGGACTAAGAAAATCGGATCGAGCAATCAAAGACATTCGCTCAGACAATCTAGCGTCATCTCAACTCTCCCTCTTTCTGTCTTACTCTCACACACACGCATACTCTCTCACACAATAAAATTACAAGAGGGTTCCCTACAGACTCAGAGACTCAGCTACTATGTATATTATTGGAAGTAAATAACAACGAATGGTTATTATTCATTCCTGATATTATGGTATTATTATTGGTAATAAAATAATTTATAGTATAGTTTTCGTCGGTGCAAATCCACTTTAGGCACCTTAGGTATCACGAAGTGATGCACAGGATCTTCTGGTAGTATCAACTGATGTCAAGCAGAATTTCCGCTATATTCAAGGGAATGATGCAAGAAACCTAACCTACCCTAACAGTAACACACTTGTAATACCTTAAGGATGTAAGGTTATAACTTTACTGACTTGAGGGTTATAGCTTATAGGGGTTAAGGGTTTTTGCATCAATTCCTTATATACGGAATGAGTTTGTGCATCAGTTGATGATAACACAGAAATCTGTGCATCACTTCGTGATAACATGCTAAAGTGGATTTGCGCCGATTTTCGTTCTAAGTTTTCCAGCTACTTAAGTTTTAATATTGTTGTTTTTCTATTAACCAACCGCGTGAAATACAGTAAAACTGTTCCAGTTGCACGACCAGTTTAATGAGATGTTTTATATTGACGTTTATTACTTCAGTAAGCCGATCACTAGTTTTTACAGTAGATCCTAACCAACATACAACGAGTGTCATTATAATACCCGACATAAGAAAAGGGAGACTTTCCAGTGTATTTACATCGTTACTGGTAACCATTCAAGACAGCTGTCTGGATGCACAGCAAATAATAAAATAATATTCAGGATATGTGCGCAGTAGACGCACAGTTAAGCTAATTCTACATCAGGAGTGGATAGATAGCGATTTCTATATCCCCACTCGCTGACTACATGTTATCCTATTAGCACCACACTTCTTCCTCAAAATAAGATACGACAACAGAAACGGAGTACTGTAAAACTGGTTATAACGAACACTTGCAGAGAAGTGGCACCCTGGCCTTTGGGGACAGCGTGGGCCGTTGCTATCGAAGGTGGTTTCTTCCTGCTACAACGCCACTTGAGTGAACCGAAGAGGGAGGTCCTTCATGTGCAAAGGACGTTGTCTATGGAGGATGACTGTAATGCTGGTAAGACACCTTGTGCTAGCACACTGACAAAAAAACAATGCTCGTCATGAATCCAATAGTAACAATATATTATTCATCAGAATTCGAGCATTGAACGCAATCCCGCTCTAGAATTAGGCAATGACTGCGTTAACTATGATTGAATAAGATGTATATCACGTAATTTACATCTCGTTCGAAATATAAAAATCGCAGACACCGCGTCCGAGCGCTCTTAACTTCACGTAAGTTTTAGAAGACGTACAGCATGACAACACTAAAAATCGGACCTTGAGGTACTAAATATATATATTACACACGCACCACGCACGAGGCAAACACTCGTCCAGCATCACAACACATCCGCCAGGCATCATATCACATACGTGAACCACGTAACACACATACAACATGCAATATTCTTCGTCATGCACCGCACCCGCCCGCCACGCGCGCAACACACACACACACACACACACACACACACACACACACACACACACAGTGCCCGGTCCTACCTCTGAATATAAGCTCAGGACAAGAGCACCTCAACGATGGGACAACTATAATACAGCAATAACTGGGACCAACATGAGCAGCAGACAGCGTCAGTAGTTAATTACCTAACGAGCGCTTCCCTAATGACAAATCAACACAAAGGGAAGGTACGCACGAGCGTGAAATATACAAACAGCAACCACGGGTCTCGTAGAGGAAGATTCACATAGCTTCCCCTGCAGGTCCACGGCGCCACAACCAATGTACTTTTCACGAAACCGCTGGCGCCATCTGTTAGCAGGAAACACAGCTAATCGTGTAGGTGAGTGCATGATGATCGATCAGCTACATGCACGCACACACGCGCGTACGCACGCACGCACGCACGCACGCACGCGTTTAGTGAGTCGCTTCTTAAGCCTCGCGCAGACCTGCGACTTTTTCATGCAACTGGACAGCGATTCTAGAATCGCTGTAAAAATTGCTGTGAAATCGCTACGTCTGCGGGAACGTGCAACTGCAACCCGTAGCGATTCTGGTCGCTTGCGACGAGATGCAAGAAATCAAACTGTTTTGATTTTGAGCGACTCGTCGCTCCCAATCGCTCCCAAATTGCTCTAGAATTGCTTCGAAATCGCATGTGTGCGAACATGCGGTGACACATCAAGCGATCGCTTGCGGTTGCAGGTTGCAGCGACGAGCAACCAAAAATCGCAAATCTGCACTAGGCTTTAGGCTGCAGACAATATCGCGCTAGTAACGAGATAAAATGGGAATGTTCGTTCGTTCAAAGTAACGCAATTTTTTTTTACAACGACGTTAAATATAATTTCTTATATAGCATCTAGCTACTTTTTTGTTCGCCCTGCCGCGTACAGAGATATATGTGAGACAATGAACCATTCAACAAAGATTTCTCGAATCATCATCACTATCACCCTCATCATCGTCGTCATCATCACTATCATCTTTTAAACTACTGATTTAGCAACAATTATTTACAATGACAGGAGAGCAGGCTGAGCACATGCCCTCACACATGACCTGTGAAGGTAACCACGTGCCGCGCCAGCATGAGATAAATATAAATACATGCACACTATATACAGGTGCGACGACACACACCCGTGCCGTCGCCCAGGGGGCACCACCGCCTGCACCGCGCGCACGCGACGATGAAATAAATAATGGGAACAGGAAAGGACAAGCACGTGGTTGCTAAGACTTTTTCCAGATGAGGATGATGAGGAGGACGATGACAGCAACGGCGAGCAGCAGAATACACATCATCTTGCGATTCTTCTTCTGGTACTTGTCCGCCTTCTGCAGCTGCTGCAGGCCCTCCTTGACGCTCTCGCTGGCGTGCTCGATGTTGTAGTCGATGCGGTCAAGCACCGTGCCCTGTGTGACATGGACAGAGCGCGTGCGCGCATTCTCATTTAGTTTCTTCGGTAAACAGAATGACCGGCTATGGTTTTTTTATGGCATTCTTTTATATGACGACTATATATTCAAACCCGGTGGTTGCAAGACCATTTTAGGCCACCCCATCCTGGGCCACCTACCTACCCTGTACACACCTACTCTTTGGCTCTTAGCGCCCTAGGTCACTCTATCGAGTATTACGGTGGACGGTGGTATAGCCCAGGTTGGGAACCACTGCTCTAAACTATACGTTATATTGTTGCTTATGATAACGTTTTCAAAGTTATTATTACTAAAGTATAGCACTGCAATTGTAAATATCTTCAATTTTATATTGATGATGACAAGATATACAAAAATGTCACCCCCTGAATGCCGTCTAGTCGCTAGATCGCACACGCATGCACGCACGCACGCACGCACGAACACACACAAACACACACACACACACACGCACACACACACGTGATTATCGCAGCAGCCTCACACACCGAGACGCGGTGACAATGCGACACGCACACGCGCTGTTTCACGGGACAAGACGAGCGAACACCAAGAACTAACGACAACAACTGACCGCGCACGCGTGGACTCGCCCTGTTGCCACGGTTACCTGGTCGGCGACGATCTGTGCGAGATCCTTGAAGATTTCGTTGACCTCTGCGATTGACTTGACGACGAGCGCAATCTCCTGCTCCCGCTGCGACACGAGCACGCTGTTGTCCTCTGCAAACTTCATCTGCTGTGACGTGAAGCCCTGCGAGCGAGATGAGGAAATGTGAAGATGCTAGCAGCATCCATTAGCTCTTCACCTTCCGTCACCATGGAGACCAAACACAAGTGAGAACGAGGAGGAAGACGAAGAGGAAGGGGAAGGAAGCTGATGAGGGGGAGGAGGAGGTAGTGGGTGGTAAGGCAAGGGCAATAAGAGGATAATGGAGGTGAGCAGGGACAGGAGGAGGAGGAGGAGGAGGAGGAGGAAGAGGAGGAGGAGGAGGAAGAGGAGGAGGAGGAGGAGGAGGAGGAGGAGGAGGAGGAGGAGGAGGAATATGAGGAGGAGGGAAGAAAGACTCCCCTTGTTTTATTGCTCCTCTCATATTCCATCATCATGGAGACCAAGCATGGGTGAGGAGGAGGACGTGGAAGAGGGAAGAATGACTCACCCTGTCATATCTCTCCTGTAACTCTTCATCTTCCAACATCATGGAGCTAGACTGGGGAAGACTGATGTCAAAATGTTCAAAATACCTCTCCTCTCGTCCCGTCAATCCTGAAAGTGCCAAGAAACGTGCCATTACATGCGTCGAGATCATTCTTAATTACATTTAAATTAATAAAAAAATCGCATGGCCGAAATGTATGGCCTGTGACTACAAATACATTGTAAAATAAAATCACCTACTGGTAATATTTCCATGTGAAATGAGACAGAAGAGTTAATGCATCAGACATGCACAATGCACTGATCGCACACGAACGATGAACACACACAAATTACCAAATGCATAATTTAAAATCCTTCACACAAAAGCAGACAGCATAAATTAAGTGTTTGTGAATATTTCTGAATTGCTGAGGAAGACAAAGTCAATAACAAACTTACATTCACTCTGATCATCATGTTAAATAACGAATAAGTGGATTACCAGAACACACAACACAGGCACTAACGCCAATGCAACCTGCCACACCCTCACACGACCACCCACGTCCAAAAATGCTCACGTTTTAAATATGCCGACTGAGACTGTCGGAAGTTGCCTGAAAGACTCTGTAGCTGTGACGCGAGCGATGACATCACGTTACGCGTTACGCGCTGTTCCTGCGAGGTGGCACTTCTGCTCCTAGCACCAATCTGCTGAACCAGCCGATGACACCTGGTGAACATCTATGTAAACAACAAAGACGCATTGTTTTTTTATAGTTGCAGCAGAAAATACTAAATTCAAAAGTAATCAAAGGAAATAATCATCACAAGTCAAAACTATTCAGGCTAAATACGTCACTGCCGATAATAGGGAAATTATTGTGAGCCAAAACTGTAATCGCACAGATTTGTTTCATGTCATCATTTTTGGGAAGCATTTAACGCTAACATCCTGGTGCCCGTTGTCAGAAACATCGTAAAGTTAAGGTTAATGTTAATACCAAGACAGCACTTACAATTCATGTTAATGTTACAAGAACAGCATTGACAGAAATACATCGCAGCTATGAGAAAACTTACAATAACAGGAACTTCATAACTTGCTGTCACGAGGCTGCCGATTGGATAAGAATCGATCACAAAACTCAAATTCATATGCATTTATTGTATACATTATATTTTCACAGTAAGTTATGCATATTATGGTAGTAAATCATATAAAAAATAACTGATGAAAAAATGACATGATCATGTTTTTATTCTGCACAGTAGTGCTCACATAACACGAGTGTTATGACTTATCAAAATATCCAAAATGAGAACAATCCCCATTTGTAAATGTTAGTTTTGGTACACGATCAATAGATAAGTAGTGTTCATGATGTGTTTTCCATGACAAAACACGTTTTACTAATTAAAATAATATAATATCACTATAATTGCAATTCTTTGTGTAAATGCATTATTTTCATCTTGGTCTTAATGTTATGAGAGGGTCTAGGAATCTCGTAATGTGAAGAGGAAATTTGCTAGGATTTTTCATTCTTGTAACTTTACGATGTTTCTGTGAATGGTTTACAAGTCAAAAGTTAATTTTAAAGCTACTGTTAAGACTAATTTTGTGTCTGACAACAGGACCGTAGTGAACATCTCAACTGATTCTTATGCCACTGACTACTAGTGCCCAATATACCTGTGTTATGTCTTGTGTCATGATTTCTATAGCGTGTTCTTCGTCTATGGAGTCATCCATCGTAGGCCGGTTTAAATGCTTATCATGAAGAGTAGAAACCTCCTTAACTGTAACCGCATCAATGAAACACAAGTTCACTCACAGCAGGAATATATGCAGGTGGTTTAACACTGAACACTATCAGTACTTTCTGCTACAAAGCAATTCAAAATTAATTATCAGTAACTTCGCTCTTACACTATGATTCACTGAGCCTGAAACATGCAGTGTATTGTAAAGAGGGGTGTAACTATTCACCGATACATCAGTGAATCGCGCGTGATACAGCGGGCCACGATACGATAAACGATACGTAGGGACCGGATCGTGATAAAAGCTATACGGATGTTAAACAGTGAATACCGCAAGCTAAACTATTTAATAAAGCACATCTAATTCCTTTTAAATTTAATTCCTACTTTAATTTGATAAACTTTCTCTCAGTATCACATAAATATCCTCGGCTGTCATAGAAATCAGTGTCAATATATGTGGCGCGCTTGTATTGCCGCCAAAATTATTACCGCAAAATAATAGAGCGCTGATTGCATGTCGTTACTGCACAAGTACTGTAGCACTGTGTATGATGTGCATGCGAGTGGAGTTGTCAATTACGGGTTAGTCTATACTCTAGAGCATACTCAGAATATCCCGTTGTGTTTCAGCCATAAATATATATATATACGGAGACTCCCCAACTTACAAACTTTCGATGATACAAACAATTTGCCCTGAAGTCCATTAGTGTATAATGTCAATATTGGTCAATAAAAAGACACAATCGCCCCCCTGATTTTGACTTTCGCCAACTCCTGTGTTCACGTATGTTTACACTATGTACACTTCTAGGTTACTCGATGTTCACACGTACATATACTACACTACTGTACAATACTGTATACCTACGTACATATGTTCGACTTACGAACAACCGCTCAGAACCGAACATGTTCGTAAGTCGGGGAGTCTCTGTATATAGTAACTGATTAATAATTCAAGTTCTTGTGAACCTCATATTACAAACTAGAAGATCAAAATAAAGATTTCAAAAAGTCACTGTTGTTTTATGACAAATGTGAATGCATTCTAATAAAAATGTGTAGGTATATACTATTATTTATGCATAATATACTCTAATTCTAGTGTATTGTATCCCTTTTTATTATAAATTTTCAAATAAACATTAATAATAAAAATCATTACTAATTCGTACATGATATGACAAATTTATCCTAGCATGTAAATTACACTATCTCTCCTTCTGTCTATGTATCGTATCGTCACCTACGTATCGAGATACGTATCGTATCACGACCCTAGTGTAATATGTTACACCTATAGTGAACATTGTAAATGCAATTTCTTATTAACACCATGCCGGACCGTACTTTTTTGTTGTATTCGTGATATTTCATATTGTATCTCCTCTACTCCATCTACCCACTCTGGAGGAAGCTTGTTGATTCTGGAATTTGTAAGGCCAGCTTCAGGGTCCTTACTGACTAGCGCCACTCTATCATCTGCCTAGAAAGAAATGAACATTCACAATTATATTTTATTGCATGCTCATTATCAAATTCATCATGTTGAAGATATGATCTGTATGAGTTGAGGCATTTGTAAAATAATATAGCATTTCCTAGTATAATGGTTTGCTGCAAGACCACAAAGTGAATCAGTTGTAAATGCAACATTTTGCCCACAGTTGCACACTGTATACACTTCAAGAATTGATATTATCATATCTTGTTACACTACTGTTAATGTTTGTGTGCCCTGTCATGATAGTGATTGCATACTTGGACAGTTAATCCTATCCCCTAGCTAATCTATACTTGATTGGTCCACAACATCAATACATCAAAATAGACAATGACTATGGTTTGTATACCCTTTTTACACCAATTCTACAATTTAGCAAATCAAGATAACATTGTTATTAATACTGTTGCAACCATTAAATTTCTGGGCTGTCGCTCACAAAGATGTGACACTGATGCTCATAGGGTCTATGTCCCCCAGGGTACTGCCGGAACGTACCCTGGGTACGGTTCGGTATACCGGAACGTACCCTGGTAACTATCTAGCTGATATGGTTAGGGTTAGGGTTAGGGTTAGGGCTAGGGTTAGGGTTAGGGTTAGGGTTAGGGTTAGAGTTAGAGTTAGGGTTAGGGTTAGGGTTAGGGAGTAGGCGTAGGCGACACCCTAGACTCGTTAGTGGAGTAGGCGAGATACGGTCCGGCACATTAGATAGTAGTATTTAGTACCAGGGTACGTTCCGGCAGTACCCTGGGGGACATAGACCCTACCCTGGGGGACAGCGACACTGACAGTGCAGCCAAGAGACAAGAGCTGTATAAATAGCAACAAACATATTTAAAAGTATTGTAATATATAGTACTGTTGATATACATGAATTCGGGCAGCTAGTGTTGCTACAAGCCACCGTGCCACGCTTGCGCAGTAGAGCATGTGGCAAAACCCCTACGGTGTGACACACAGAACACAGACACACACAGAGATTTCGATAACATTCAATAGAGTAGACATCAACGAAGAAATAACAAAACAATGCCTTCTAGCTGCTGTGCATTTGGATGCACCAACCGAATTGTGAGTCTGAAAAAACTGGGAAAGGGGTCATCATGTAAAAGCTTAGACAAAATTTATGGGGAAAAGTGCATTTAATTGATTAAATAATAGTATACTGAAGTTTCTTTCAATAATTATAGATCGTTTAAAGCTAGTTGTTCTAAATGGCTGTTTGAACCTAATGGAAACATCATGCTGTAAACAAAATAAACAATACTCTTAAAATTTAAAAAATCATATCTTTAAATGCAGTCGTATTACAATAGTATATCAATCTCATTGTAGCATGTTTTGCACATGGAGTTTTAGTAGTTATTGCTAGTTTCTGGAAACTACTAGTTTTCATTGTGATTAGGAGCGTAGACTTAGTGTGTGGGGGTGTAGGTGGAGCGTAGACTTAGTGTGTGGGGGTGTAGGTGGAGTGTAGACTTAGTGTGTGGGGGTGTAGGTGGAGCGTAGACTTAGTGTGTGGGGGTGTAGGTGGAGTGTAGACTTAGTGTGTGGGGGTGTAGGTGGAGCGTAGACTTAGTGTGTGGGGGTGTAGGTGGAGCGTAGACTTAGTGTGTGGGGGTGTAGGTGGAGTGTAGACTTAGTGTGTGGGGGTGTAGGTGGAGTGTAGACTTAGTGTGTGGGGGTGTAGGTGGAGTGTAGACTTAGACGGTGTTCTAGGACTTGTTTTTTAGTACTCATCTGGTAGTGTGAAAACTCTTCACTCCTGACACTAATGTTTGTGCGGAGTCTCATAAATCAGACCATTTCGAGGATTTATTGTTACATTGTGAACTGGGGGTGCAGATGGAGGGCTGCGGCTAGTCGATATTAAACAGTCTAAAACCCTACACATTAACGAAGTGACTTTTATTGGCAAAACTGCACATAAATGCTCATTCATTGATACATTCTTGTAGTCATCCATTTGTATGAACAAATAATCATTTGCATTTTTTGTTTCTACTACAAGCAGCACAAAATGAGTCCCCCCTCCCCCCTGGTTCAGCGTCAAGCCCAACACACTCTACTGTGCACATCTTGCTGTGACATGCAACCATGTCATCAAAGTCCTCCCCTTCTCCACACAAACAGTACCATCTGCTGTCTTCCCTGTCGAACTGGACTTGTACGTACGTTTGTATATCCACCCACTAAAATTATAATTGTATTCTTCGAGAGATCGGTAGCACTTTAAAGAATCTCTGGTAAATCGACCGGGTGTATTGACTAAATACACGTATATGATATGTGACCAAACTCCACATCGGGCCATTTTGTTACGTCGTCAACCTACTGTAAAATTTTGTGATCCCCCCAAAATTTTTGTCCCCCCAAACAACAAAAATGGATCGTCGGTCTTTACACATTGTAAATATAGTCTCCTTAGTTTATCAGTATATCTAACCTGGTCTGATTTCATACGGGATGAAAAATATTCGCTCATTTTATGTACGACACTGCAGTGTTTACACCAGCTGTTCGTGTGTTGCGCGATTGTTTCGCCACACGCAGCATGCGCATGCGCATGCGCAGTGAATACAGCCCATCATTATGGACGCCAGCCACCCGAACTCATGTATACCTCAGTACTTGTGGCTGAGGCTAGTAGTAGTAATAGTAGTGTGGCGGTGGCACCGGTCACCACTGGTTCCCTGGCGATGTAATTGTGAGGTAGCTCACTGGGAACCACAGACAGAGTATGGGTTAATGTTCCGTGTTTGTGACTGTATAATTATTTGTGATGTCCGCTGTCTATTAGTGTGCGTTTTCGTGGTGTTTTGCTTGCTTACCAATTGATAATGTAGATAGACAAGTCCCTACATGGGGGCCGCCATGTTGTGTGCGGTAGTTCCCCCTGTAGCGGCGGAGAGTGGCGCGGGCTGTATGAACAGCTAGTGGTAGATAGGGGTGTGTGAAGATACGGCATGCAGTTCGTCTCTGGAATCGAGTGATGGAGGACTCGTAGTATGTAGCCTCGTCCACTCCGTGTGTGTGCATGGAGTGGAGCGGCCTGTTGAGCTGTGTGTGGCGAGTATGGTGACAGTTAGCGTACGAGTACCCGTGGTAGAGGTACTGTACGGTCACCGGTGTTTGACATGGCTTGCCTCATGGGTGAGCCGTGAGGGAGACAGGCACGTCGGTTGGTGAGTAGGCACTGTCGTATTGTCCTGTTGTTGCGGGGCGAGTAAATAATACAGTACTAGAATATTAAATAGGTTGGTTTAATATTCCTACAGTATCGAGAAGTAATAACTCTGCACGAATCGGGGGGAAGCTGGCCTATTCGTGCACAACCGCACAGGGTGGGAGGCTGCCGGTTATTTTAGCCCTTTGCCCAGCTGCATTCATAATTCATTCTATTTGTATAGCCTTTGTTTATACACCGGGTTGACATTTATTATGAGACGTAACGTAAGGCCAGCAGGCAGGGTGGGGTTGCCCCGTTGTTGTGTTTCTGGTGTGTGTCGTCCCTCGTCTGGCATTGTTGACTAATTACACAACTGCGCTGGAACCGGAACACGGTGGGACAGGTTATTGCGGAGGGAGCGCAGTAGCACTGAGGCGCTCTGGTGGCTAGCGGAGTCCGGGTGGCGGCGATATGGCCATTTCAACGCCCCCGGGCACAACAGGTGAGTGTGCTTACCTACGGTTACTGCTAGTCACTATGTTTCGACCGGTGGCGCCATCGGGTGTCGCCGGGAGACCATAAAAACGCTACAGTAGTATGTGACCCGAGTGACTGTATTATGTAAATGTATAGCTCTAGTACTATAGCCCGCTTTCATTAACTGCCGCAGGGCTATAGAACATCCTCAACTGGATTTCGCAGCAACACCGGGTCCCGACAGGTTCCACTCAAAATGGCTTACAAAACGGAAAATGATCAGGCTTTTTAACACTTATTTATCTACATGGACATCTCACCTATCTTTTTGAACACTTTTCACAACTTTACACCATGTATTTATGCATTTTCAAAGTCAGCACTACTGGCATTTCTGTTTGAAATATTCTGGCGTGTGCACGCGTGACGTCACCGGTATTGTATATACATGACACCGGATATGTAGGCAAAACACATGGCAGCTATAGTGCAATACCGGTGACGTCACGCGTGCACATGCCAGAATATAATTCAAACGGAAATGCCAGTAGTGCTGACTTTGAGTATTAAATGCATAAATACATGGTGTAAAGTTGTGGAATGTTCAAAAAGATAGGTGAGATGTCCATGTAGATAAATAAGTGTTAAAAAACCCGATAATTTTCCGTTTTGTAAGCCATTTTGAGTGGAACCTGTCGGGACCCGGTGTTCCTGCGAAATCCAGTTGAAGATGTTCTGTAGCCCTGCGGCAGTTAATGAAAGCGGGCTATAGTACCAAAGCTAGTCAATGTATGTCACTAGGGCTGAGAGGGTCTATGTCCCCCGGGGTACTGCCGGAACGTACCCTGGTACTACCTAATATGCCGGACCGTACCCTGGTACTACCTAATATGCCGGACCGTACCTCGCCTACTCCACTAACGAGTGTAGGGAGTCGCCTACGCCTACTCCCTAACCCTAACCATATCAAATAGTGACCAGGGTACGTTCCGGTATACTGGACCGTACCCAGGGTACACGTTCCGGCAGTACCCTGGGGGACATATAATTATAAGCGTCACTAGGCCCTATTTGATGTTAGAAATTTTGAAATTAACACTTACAGCGAATAAAACAATAGTGACTAGAAAATACACCTTCCACTGACTGGGTAAGGACTTGCTAGCCTGACTGCATGCGCACATGGATTTTTACTCCACATGACTCACCAAGGAGGTTAAAGAATCGTGGGAATGTGCTTTGATGATGTCATTGATCACACAGACCCCTTTTCGGCTTTTGCTTTTCGATTTTTGTCTTTGTTTACTCACTTGTTCTGAGAATATATGCCGACTTTGTACAGCGTTGTTGCGCATTAGTATAAACACCTCAGTTAAACTTCTTGTTGCCATTGCTCAAATGTTAATGCTGCATAAAACCTAATACAATCATTGGAAATACGGTTACTAGACCGAGATTTTAGCGTAAAATTCTCCTGCTCGCCGGTATCACTTGTTTTCCTGCGATAGATAGCGCCACTTCACAGTATGAATTCGCAACCCAATAGTAAACCTTTGAGTGAGCACGTGATCTTTAATATGATCGCGGCTGAGGTGGCGATTCAGGGGGCATACAACAGTAACCGTAACCAGACCGTAACAACAGTAACAAAAAGCATGTTCCGCCCAAGAAATCGAGCCATTGTGTTTTATGTTAATGAAAATAAGCTATGCAGGTTCTCTAGCATAGTCTTTACACACATACATGTTCAAATAACATTTAAACATGTATATATGTAAACATGTACAGATCCGTATATATTATGTTCTTTACATAATACGTACATTAATATACACTCATTTTACACTTAATTATTTGGTGCCAGATAAAAGATAATTACCCTAATTTCACTCTGTTGGGGCACCCCTAACACTAACAGTAGCAAAATATCTCTGTTGGTTGCAATACACCATTGTGCTTACGGCGAGACCATTGATTGTTGTGTTTTGGGGGCTCATTTCAGAGAGCAATATCTTAGCTCCTGGAATTATGTCACATTTAAAATTAGGTACCCGCATTCGGAAAAAGCTCTAAATTTTCCCTCCAAAATTTTAAGTCGATCACGACCGTTCCTTTAAGGAGCATACAATAGTAACATTCCGCAAATTGTTCACCAATTTTAAATTTTCAAGCAAAATTCGGCACTCGAGTGCACTAATTTGCATTATGCACGCAAGATATAGATGCGTCGTGGACGTCTAGAAGGCATTCGAAGTAAAATTGGTCTTGTCGTGTAATTGTGCTATTCCGTCAAGTTCCGTATCCATGGTGACCGGTTGACCATGTTTGTGTTTGAAACGGGATCCGACTACTTTGTAGAAATGCGCGTCATTTAAAGGAGCGATCGTGATCTGGATCGACTTGAAATTGATTGGACGAGCATGTAAACTCGTGCGTATACGGCAAACAATATATTATATGATGTTAGTATATATATATATAGACATATATGATGTGAAAATAATTATCTAGCATGCAACGACTATAGAAATACATATTCTGTTTGATCCTTCCATAATTTTAAATGAAAGAACTGTCTTTACATGTGCGACTATCAGTGATGGATGTAATGGTACCACGTTAAGATAATGACAAGAAAAATAACAGCGAAAAAACAGAAATAAACGTCGAGCAGTAGAATAAGAATGAAACACGAAGTTCACAGCTATCTCGCAATGCTCCGCGCACGAGCTTGAATGCTATAATTTTACAATTATTTCATTCGATGGCTATTGCATATAATAAGTACCTACAATGTGCATTTTTTATAGTTTAAGATGATCGCGTGTATAGCGTTCGGTAACAACGCCTATGCGTTCTATAATCCATATAGTTTTTCAGTCATAGCAACGCAAAACCTTGGCTATTTATTAGCACTCAAACAACGCGAGTGAGTTAAAACTAACAGCTAGGAAATGGCACGGAATTGGAGAGTGGTTTCAGCACGGCGTGTTGCTGCCTGCTCTGCTAGCTACCATGCAACCAGCAGTAGCAGCAACAGCAGCTTGTTTAGTGTTCCCGAAATTATATCGGTGCCCGGTCTAACACAAACAACGGCATCGTTACGCCGTACTGATGCAAACCCGCCAGTCCTCGGCTCTTGTTTAGCGCTCCCGTAATCGGTTAATGGTGTTTACGTAAGTCATATTTACATGCAACTGGGTCATGCGCGACACGTGAGCCGACTATATGATCCGTTTGCCATTTGTGCTGATGTTATTACACTGACGTTGATGATAGTGATGACGATGAGGAGAATGATGTTGCTGTTGCTGCCACTGTCACCGCCGCCTCCGCCGTCGCCGCCACTGCTGCCGTCGTCGACGACGACGACGATGATGATGATGATGATAATGATGATGATGATGATGATAATGATAACGATGACGACGATGATGATGATGATGATGAAGCTGCTGCTCCTGCTGATGCTGATGCTGGTGGTGCCGATGATTCTGCTACTGATAATTCGGGAGCTGATGCTGATGTTGCTGCTGTAGCTGCTGTTGTTGCTTCTGCCGTTGTTGCTGTTGCTGCTGCTGCTGCTATCGCCGCTGTTGCTGCCGCGCGCCGCCGTCATTCCTGCGGCTGTTGCTGCATTAATTGTTGTTGTTTTTCTAATTACAGACTACGCTGGCTCCTGCATGTTGATTCTGCTGTACTTTTCAACAAAAGCAAACAGTATACGACTAGTATTTCAGCGCGTACTAAAAGCGATGACGGTTTAAGACGCGGCGAGCTCTTACACGCTCACGTATTCGCATGCTACGTCGCTGACGAAAATAACGATGGCGGTGACGCCAATGATGTTGGCAATAGCTACTACGACGCGTCACTTCGACACGCGCTGACGTATCCCTATATCATAACAAACAGAGAGAATAATGGCCAATGATTGTCAAGCGAGCGCGAATTTCCTGCTATAAAGCGCATCTAACACAGCGACGCGGCCATTTAAATCAACATTAAAGTTAAATAAACAGTCGCTCTAACGCAATTAGATGCGCCCAATAATGCTCATCGATCGCATACGATATAAAATATTTCGCGACCTCAAACAAAGAAACGTCTGCTGCAGTAACTATCCGACCGTACCTTTTCTGTCACTTCTCCTCCCCCCATCCACCCCCACACCGCCTGCCGCTGATATGGAAACGCGATAGGTAAATTGGGCGAACAAAACCGGCTTTTAGGCGCCGGTGCGGCCGCGTGTATACCTGCACAGGTGCGCTGCATTCAGGTAAACGGTCGGCTAACGATGATCGATCGATCTTATCAACGCATCTTTTGTACCTGTCCGCTGCCCAGCCGACAGCGCACGCGCGCAGGTAGAGTCATTAAGCGCGCATTGTCACGGAGCTAGCGGGTCAATCGTCGCTTTTTTACCTGTTCGACACGCGCGCGCGCGCTGGTCACGTGACCGATCATCCTCGCGTCTAGCTCATTGTGACGTCATTTGGAAATTTCTGTTTCATTGTCAGGTATAGGGATGTTGCCATCTACCTCCCTGTCTTTCTCTCTATATTTCTCTTATTATTCTCTCTTTCTCTCTTTCTCTCTCTCTCTCTCTCTCTCTCTCTCTCTCTCTCTCTCTCTCTCTCTCTCTCTCTTTCTCCCCCCC